TGAAGATTGCAATCCATCACATATTCAATGCACTAGTGTATAAGCATGCATGCGCATTTCTTAGAGTTCTGCTGAACGCTCTAACAGCAAATTGAAATTTGCATGCCATATGGTAAAAGTTTTATTTTGTTTGAAGTGTCTGATCTGTCATGTTATCACGACTTAATAAATTAGTCTTTGATTTTTTTATAATCAGCTCATCCTTTAGACGATTTTCTTGCATGGATATACCTATATGACATACAGTAATGGTTTCGTTGGAAACTACAAACCATGGGGATTTCTACTTCTTTGTTTCTTCTATGGAATGTACGGCATGAATACAGCTATACTCACGCTACACTTCATTTACAGATACATCGTTGTGTGCAGGTGAAAACCTTAATTATCATAGTGCGACATATTCAGAATTAAGAATTCCATGACACACTAATAAAATAAAAAAAATAATAAAAAATTAACCACTGATAAAAAAATTGTAGTGAAAAATTAAAAGACTTATTGAGGTTTTTGTGACTGGACAAACTGGAGCAGTGAGATCAACTGATTCAAAAAAAATTTTTCAATGGGTTACATAAGGAGCGAGCGAATTTCTTGTTTTACGGAAGGGCTTGAGGAAGTTATAGAAGCTGGGTACAATTAGAGTCCTGTTCCTACCTGCGGCGACAGATCATTAGAAAAGTTATTTTGACGAAGAGAACATCAAATCCAAATAAAACGTCGTATGAAACACTGAAAATGCTCCGATACAGTAACACATACTTCATAGATTGCGTAGTAACAAAATCGATACAAATGGATTGTCAGCCTGCTTGAAGGACTGAAATTACTGCAGTTGTACATACAGAATATGTCCCGTAAAATTCAATGAAAAGTCTATGCAGTTCGGTACCTACTGCGTTTAACTCCATTTGCATGTGTAGTGCTTCTTTCATTGAGTGAATAAATATGCAGATGTGAGGGAGAGGGAGGTGGCCGAGTGGTTGTGTTGCTCTACACGGTTTGACGCGAAATCAATCCTACAGCCTCGCAACAGCAAATCAAAAATTTCATGCTATATGGCCGTCACTAACGCTTCACAGAACGCCTCAGCCTGGCCATCCTCGAGATTTCGAGGAGGCGTGCTCCACCAGTATTCAACGACGTTCATATATAAGACGGAAAACGAAATGAAATGCTTGAACTACTGGGATCCCTCACAACGCAAGGAAACAATTGTGAAGACGGGTTAAGTGCTTGAAAAAAGGACAGATGTGGGGGTACAGGAGTCGTTAGTGAGGTAGTAAATCAGGGTAAAGCCCTGATTCTAACTTCCTCTCTCAAAATGTTTCTGCAAATTACGTGGTAGCGCTATAGGTCTGCTGTCGCCGAGATTGTAGGAACACGCAACATATAGTATTGTACGACGTCAATAAAGAAGTTTAGATTGTCAAGCAGGAGCCAAGATATGTGCGAAATGTTCAAAGGACTCTGAAGATGATGGAGTGCAGAAACAAACTGAAAGTGAGAAGTTCTGTGATCCGCGATGTGCTCAGTAAATGTGATGACAGAGCATATAAATAAATGAATATACCTTGTCGCAGGACTCGTATCAGTTTTTCTACTGTGAAGCTCTCAATACTTCTAGATTTCTCTTCGTCTACTCGCTTGCTTGAGTACGTCATCTTCTACACGAACTTTGTAGATTATTAATCAAGCACGCTTGTTCACAATCTTGAATGCTACCAAGCTAGGGTGCTCCGTAAGGCGTTCGTTATTGATCCTTGGATAATATTAGGCGAGGTAAGTGGAAGTGTGAGATCAACGAGGCGTTAGCCTTATTGAACATCACTAACCACTCGGCCAGCCGCCGTCACATAAAAAAACTGATTATAAACAAGCGATCATCCATTCAGTGCTGCTATGCTTTAGACACGAATTCGTTTATCTTCTGAAAAAGAAGCGATACGTATTGATGTGGATAGCTGGTGTTTTGATGTGGTCGCTGAGTTACATGCTGATTACGTTCTTCTGTTTTGCTGCCACAGATGAGTATATGAATCACGTACGAACAGCAGTATTGGACAGACTGAATAGGAACATTGACGACATGTCATTCAGCTGCATATATCCTTTCGTGAGTACTCACGTTATGTACCTCTTCGAGCTTTATTCGTGCACGACATTACGCATTTATTACTTTTCAAGGAGCACACCAATGAGCAAACGATCATCCACTGGGAAGCGACAATTGGAGTGGTTCTGATAGTGTCAATGATATCGTTATCACTTGTCTTGATGCTGTTCTACGGTGTTAAGACCGTTCTTACATTACGCAAAGTGGCGATGAGTGAGAAGACAAGAGCCCTGCAGAAGCAACTGATGAAAGCCCTCCTATTCCAGGTTAGACGAATGATCTCAACAATCTTCCTTTTACAACATGTAGAATGTTGAAGGTCCGATAGCCGAGGTAATAAGCAGCAAAATCATTCCACCCTTATTTTTAGTTTCCACTCTTGCTAATCCAATGTTCTTGATATAAAACTTTGAAAATGAGAAGAAAAGCTTAGAAAACTAATCTTTATTTAAAGCTTCACGAGGTTGGTATTTTTTTCCCAATCGATTGTTCTTCTTTCCGTCGGTGGGTTTTCGCGGTTGATGAGGCTGACGTTTCGGCAAATACTCCTTCTTCAGGGTCTCAACGTATCATCCGTTGTAGCCTTATTTATATGACTATATACTGTGAGAAGAAAAAAAATCCAATGTTCGTTGATTCAGTATTGAAGTAGTTCAATGTTCTATATTCCTAAAGAGAACGATTGTTTACACGCTGGTAATTTTTTAGGGATTTCATCTTATTTCCACTATTTCTTTCTCGTTGATCATTTATCATTGGTTGCTCAGAAATCCTTTCGATCGGGTCATTGCATAAGGCTTTGGTATGATGGAGAATGTTTTAACAGCTTGGCCGTAGTGTAGTACCACCATCCCTTGCCATCAAAATAAAATGTGCTGCCTCGAAGTGACATGCCTTCGTTACCTCGCGGTGAAAGATTCGCCAGGAACTGTAGGTTAAGTTGCATGCTCCCGAAGATTTTGCCTTGAGTTTTTTGGGACTGGCGGAAAATGCTGTTTTGGGGACCACTCGACAACAAACAGGTAATCAGTTCCTGGCGTCTACAGGTCGGAATTTCAAAGGTTAACGGCCGCAAGAGAAGTCACAAAGCGACTCACTGCTGTCCTCTCAAGGATAACGCTCGACGTCACATTGCAAAGTCGATTCGTCCATTTTGGCGAAAGTGAGCTCGACCACGTTACTATTAGGTACAAATATAAATATGAGTCCGTCGTTTATTTTTTTTTTGCTGTAATGATCGTAAAGATAGAGGCATGGAGCTAATTACATATATGTTTTACATGCAAAATATTTTATACGATGGTTTTTATAGGACTTTAAGATGACGATTTTTGCACCCGAAAAGTTCTACTATTTTTGAAAGTCGCTAACTTGTAACTTGAAATTTGATAATTTAAAGTGGAAATTTGATGGTGTAATGTCGCGAAAATTAGGCAGTTAAGATAAAACCTCTCAAAATCTCCTACCCCAACTCTTTATAGCGTTTTCGTTTGGTCTTGCACTATGAGACGATTGAGCAAAATTACAAATTATGCATAACGGAGCTTAGACGATGAAATGGTTGCGGAAAGGGCGCATAGTAAGTGATCGCCAAGTTCAAAGCTGGAGAGAACAGTATGGAGGAATCTGGGATCAGTCGCTCTCAGGTAGTCTACAGGAAGCTCTGCTGATCATGCGCTCCGCTTTGCTAGTGTTTTCCAGTACACGCCATTCGTGCATGAGAAGCAAGCGACTTTTTCTCATGGTAGCTCCATCTTAAAGCAAGTACAGGCAGTTGTATACTAAATTGTTTAGGAGACAATGTGCAACTGAACGGCACCAAAACCAAGCACATTTGACTACTTCTGGCTATAAATTTGCAATGTAAAAATTTCCCACAAATGGCGTTTTTCGGAGACAAAAGTCGTCAACTTCAAAGTGCTATAAAGACCATCATATATACCTCGTATATAATAGCATATGAATAAATGACGCTTTAAGCGTCCTTTCCAGCAAAAAAATTTACTTGTCTTCATTTTAACTATCATTAAATTACCATTATCATTATGCAAAACAAACGGCGAAGCCATATTTGTACATTTGATAAATTCATCGTGTAGCCGTGATGGTGCTCCATTAGAACATCATCCCCTCCGCGATTTGATGCAGTTTCTGTCGGAGATAAAGTCCAGAGACTATGTTCAGCTCAAACGTGATCTCACCGACTAAACAATTTCCAGTCTCGTTCTTTCTGAGAGGAAGGCATTCATTCATTTCCCATCAAGTGGATGGATGTCATTGATCATATGGTGATTATAAAGTTGATAAACTAGTTGATTCAAATAAAAAACAATTAAAATAGCAAAAATAGAAATGTGAAAGAATTGATGAGACAACCCATTGAGTCACTGCTTTCACAACTTCAATGTTACTAAGGTGTTTGTTTCATTTTACTAAATCATTTCGCTTTTAACACAATGCTGCTTTTCTTTGATAGCACCAGTTTGTTAATCAAATGAAAATCTCTTTATTTAAGCGGTGATATGGTGTTATGATTATACCCAGTGATGCAGAGTGATGTGAAAACTTTTGCATCAGGCGGGACTCTAACCCACATCTCTCTCTATCCGGGAGCGCGTGCTCTAACCCGTTGCACTAGTGACGCCCATTTTGCTGACCCATTTTGCAAGTTATGCACATCACTCTGCATCACTGGGTATATTCATAACATCATATCACCGCAAAAGGCGGTTAAATAAAGAGGATTCATTTGGCCATCAATACCCAATATCTATCAGCATGACTGGGGTTCAATGTCGATACCGACTGACCGAGCCAGGCAGTTCACGATTGGCGGTTGACAGATAGATGCGTTGTAGCGTAGAAACAGTGGTCTGCAAAGTGGGCGTCAGTAGTGCAACTGTTTGTGCACGCGCTCCCGGATAGAGTGAGATGTGGGTTCGAGTCCCGCTTGGCGCAAAAGTTTTGCACATCACTCTACATCGCTGGCTATGCTATCAGTTTGATCACGACATTTGTAGCATAATGCACTTGACTCGAGGAGCACACATTATTCTCGATTCTCACAAAAAAAATGTTACCGTTGAAGTTGTGATAGCTTTTATTGGGATCTACTTTCATTTCCGACCTCTCATATTGACTGAATTGACTATTTCACCTACCTAAGAATTGATAATGCTTGCTTATTAATTGCGTTTCATAGAATCACTAGACTACATGATGAAGCGCGGACTTCAAATGATATAGTTTATGAACAGTCTCTTCCATAGAAATATCAACCTATAAAAATGGGAATGGAGAACACACTGCAATTGATGCATACGAAGAAACGCCTTCGTGGCTTCGACTTATACAGTCCATCCTGCCATTTTTTGCTGAATACTACCTCAGTCGTGTCAATCTTAACAGTATCGAGAGAGCGCTGGACGGAAGAGGGCTATGATTTTGACAAGGACTGCGTATGGCATCCACAAAAGCGATAAAACAAATTGAAGCACGGCGAAAGTACAGGAGACTGCTCTGTATCAAGTTAACAACTATACTAGTTTTAAACACAGGTACGAGCGGCCGTGGACGTTTTGGATGGCAAAATAAATCCTACTCAGTATATGGCTGATTTTCATTAGTAGTTGACAACTTTAGAACTGTAACACAGATACTCCACAACTGCGATGTGATGAAGAGGTGGTTTAAAACGAGATGATGATATCAACTTGCCAGCACTACCACTCTTGAAAGTTTTTAGGAAAAGGGAACGTGCACAACAGGGAAATGAAAGCCGCCATATCTCCCAGATCTACATCATTGCTCTAAAACAGTATTATTTTGGATGCCGAGCATGGGCTAGACTCAAAAAATAGAAGTCGATTATGGACTTCTCCCTGTTGGACAGAAACAGATGAAGAAACGACCTTTTTCGTTGAACAAGAACTTTTCATAAAAGTGCTGGTAATCATTCGAAAGTTGAAATATTGGAAGACTACAGGTTGTAGCAAAAAGCATAGTTTGCTGTTTTACAAACACGTATTTCTCGCAGGACAGAGCTCATTTTCTGATTTATGCATAATTTTTCGAAATCGTAACTTTCGACGATTCCAACGCTATGCTCATTTTTTCAAAGACCCCTCCAATGCAACGTAGCAATGAAAGCAAAACCGAATTTCACATTCGCCGCATATTTGCCTGTCGGCTAGTGCATGTGTGTGACCATGGAGCGATAGGCAACCAATCGATCGTGGTAGCCCAAATCACGTGTGAAGTAAGATTTTCCCAGCTTTGGAAGAAACTTCTGATACATCGCATGTCTCTTATACGACACGATTTCCTCTTCACGCTCATGTGCTTTTGATGCTTTCAATGAAGTAGTAATAAAAGAGCGTGGCAGGTTCGAAACGTGATTTCATTCTGAATGCTATAGCGCTATAAAAAGACCTATTTAGATAAACGAGCGTGTACACCAGTTTCTCAATATTCGAGCTTTTGAATGATTACTACACTTTCATGAAAAGTTCTTGTACAGCAAAAAAGGTTGTTTCTTCGTTTTTTCCGTTAGACAGAAAAGAACCCGATAAGCTTGTGTGGAAAATCAAAGATTTGTTCGAGCACAGAGAAATGTGATTTTTTGAGCCCATTAATTAGTTTTGCGTGTTTTTGAAATGCATTGCGTGTTCAGTGAGTGTTACCTCAAGAGCATCTCAATGTGTCATCGCGCGTTCTTGCGATGCTGTCCTTGCCACACCCGGATTCGTCTGGGCGCCCATCAGACAGGCTCTGACCTGGGTAACTGAACCGCTTGCAACGTAATAACAACATTACTAAAACGATGATAACAAAATAAAATCAACGAATGTGTGAACGATGCAGTACTTCAGTATAACTAGAATACTGTGGTTCGAATACTCATAGTACCAATGGTACTAGGATATTTACTGCCTGGTGAGCGAGCGTATGGTAACAATGCATGCAATTCATAGGCATAACCAAAATTAATGCAGGAACAACTATCGAGATCCATTCGTAAGGCGAAACAAATGCGCTCATAAAGAACTAAGCATTGTTTGAGTAGAATGAGAATGACGCAATGTTGGTTCTCGTGAAGGTCGCGTTCAGTCCTTAAGCCATAAAACAAAATGATACTTCAGAAGTCATTATTGTCAAAACATTAAAGATCGATAATGACAACGTACTCATGTAGTGGCATCAATAAATAGTCGACTGTCCGATACGATTAGACAGCGCGACACTTAATGACGCTATGTCAGCTCCGTGAAGTCCTTTTACCGATGGATTTAACCACTGGATAAACATGATATGCAGCGGGGACCAGCATGGAAATAAAATAATAAATGTAATGCGTCGACCAGCAGCCATACGCGCTATTGCGTGTTCAATAAAATCACAAGGATGGTCAACCTCCTCCGTGGTGAAACAGACAGGGCGTACCTTTTTAAACACGACGTACAGTGAGGTTAATTGAGATTTCGTGCGCATAAATGTATGGCTAGCGATTCAAAGTAGCAGAGTCTCAGCTGTAACTTTTAGAAATGCAGTAAAAATTAAGACAAGGTAATAGTGAATAATTGTGATATAATAGCCTGTCTGCGCTGCCACTCGACAAGTACAACAAAACTGAGATGATGTTGCGAAAGAAGTTTCCCAACACTACCGAGCACTGCATCACGTTTACATGGGTTAAAAAGAAGATGGGTGATTCAATGTGCTTGGAAACAGATCGTGGTTACCACGATGACACGTTTACGCAGCCGTAACTTCCGCTTTAGGCCAAGGTGCTTACGCAGCCGTAACTTCCGCTTTAGGCCAAGGCTAGGAGTGCATTTGAATTGCTGGCTCGCTATGCTGAAACACTGTAGGTCACGAGCAATCGATATAATTAGTCTCGTAAATTTTTGTTGACATAAAGTGATAGCAAAAAAGCGAAGAAAAAAGTAATAGAAAAAGTGAGTTGAGGAACAGCTAGTATATGTTGATGAAAAATGGTTCCTTTTACAAAGAGTCCAAACCATACCTTGGAACTCCTATCATAAGTTTACATTTGTAAAAGGTCAATATGATAACCAAGAACGCATGTGGCACAGTGGTTAGAGGTGCCTTGCGTCACACACGAGGTCAGCGGTTCGATCGCGTGCTCACGGTTCACTAAGCCATCTATCCCTTCGAGGTCGGTAAATGGTACGGGACAGGTATTAGACTTGTCTGGGAGATAGGCAGTACCGACTCGGTTCAGCGGGAGGCCACCGCAAGTCATTTTAAAGGCCACATATACATTCAATCATCTCAAACGAAGTTAAAAATTGGAGACAAATGCATGACGCAACCCTCAGGGATTAACGTTGAAAGTTTTATCCTTTATGATAGGTAGTCTTGCACCAGGGCAGAGGATTTCTCCAAGAAGCAGCATGAGTAGCTTATGTCGAAGGCGTAGCGAACAAGATTGAGAACACTGTTCTACTGTCTAATTTCGCCATACTTCATGCTTTTATATACACTTTGGGATGAGAATATCTAGCACCCTGTTGAAAAGAATAAGGAACTTCAGTGGCGTTTAGTGGGAAAATAATCTATACAAGAGTGTTTTTCATGAGATTTTTACCTTGCCAATATCAATGAAAGCTATCGAATTGGTAAGCCTTAGAATAATTAATATGTAACAGCTGGAAATGGCGATAACACATTCCACTTTAGGCAACGGTTCCGTTTTTTCTTACGTACGTGCCTAGACTTGCGTTATTTTCTGTCGTCATTTTCGGTTATCGCGATGACACGTGAGTTCACTCTAACGTTATCTCTAGTTTATTTGAGCTGGCCTTATTTTCGTTTCCCTATAATCACTGTTAAACTTATGACTGTAGAACTCTCTAATCTTTGCTACATCAAGTTACACCATTACCAAGTTCAGTGAATCAGACTATTCTTTTTTGGTAGTTGTGTAGCCAAAAGAGGATCCAGTAGAGTCTACAGATCTCTTTCTCATTACAAGAGTATGTCAATGAGTTGTATTTGAATTTGAGATTTCTTAGGCGTCATAGTTCTCTGTTGTGCTTCTTATAAAGAATTCTGACCTCAAAGTCGAAGAACTCTGTAGGAGCGCTTAGCATTCCGTGATGATCACTTGCTCGTCAATCTTTCCTGTTGTCTCTTCTTCGGAAAGCAAATATCCACATCAAATTTCTGCACCGTAACATGTTGCAGTTTTGATCTTTATTATGCAGCAAAAGTATCCAGCATTCCATCTCGAAGACAATGGTGGGTGACCCATCATTCTCTTGAGCGAGCTCATATGGCGTTCCTACTATATACGCAATAAATACACTAAGGTAGGTGCGTAGTTAAGTCAGAAAATCTCTGTATATTTACGTCTTATCAATCTTTTTGTTGTAACATCGACCCTCTTGTGTGCTTCTCATAAAGTCCGCTCTCTTCTTTCCAGCTCAATAACTACGTCATTCATCATAATAGCTTCCTGATGAAATATTTCCATCATTGTGCTCTGAAAAGTCATTTGCAAATTAGCCCTTCTTATGGATAGTTAAAACTAAGCAAATCTAGATAGTTCCTGATGTTATGAGGTCACCTTTTACATGAAGTCATTCTACCTCCTCTTTTATCTCAGCGCGCAGAGCATGTAGTGCATTTAACGGCGAGTGCTGAATATTACTGTTACCCTATTATTGACTGAATTAATCAGGATGACAACGGCAGAGCATGAAGATTTCTACCAGATGATCCGATTTCTTCACTAGCAATCTAAAAGAACGACATGGTACTCGGCGATTCCTCACAGTAGGAAGACTCTACAGGGCTAGTCCTGCAAACGATAGAAAAAAGAAGAAGGCTAAGGAGTGTGCTGCTGTAATTTCAGTCTTCAGTATCCATCTTTTGGTGCCACTTTTCGAGTCAAACTGAATATTGAGCAGAACAAACCGCAAGATCAACTATAT